GCGGTGGGGCCCCAGGGAGGGGGGCTTGGCTCCCAGGCCATGGCGTAGGGCAGCGTTTTTCAACCGCTGTTCCGCGGCACACTAGTGTGCCGCGAGATGTTGCCTGGTGTGCCGTAGGTGCAGACAAGACAAGAATTTTATAATTTTTCACTATTTTGTTTACTTAATATTTCATAATAAAGTAATTATAAAATACTTTCTTTGTGTTTATTTGATTCCTATTCAAGAGAATTACTTTATATATAGTCAATATAGGCACAGAGTTAAATTTTTTAACATTTTCTAATGGTGGTGTGCCTCGTGATTTTTTTCATGAAACAAGTGTGCCTTTGCCCAAAAAAGGTTGAAAAACACTGGCGTAGGGTTCCGGGGACCGACCCCTCTGCACCGAGTCCTGCAAGCCTCCAAGTCTCTGAGGTGAGCTGGGCACTTCGGGCACCGGCTCCGTCTTGGTGGGAGCACCAGTTCATTGGGGGGCGGGGGGGGGGGGATGAAAGGAACACAATGGGGAGAAACTCAGAGAAACAGTTTTAAAAAAAATCTCTAAAAGTATCCCTAACTGGTTTGGCTCAGTGGATAGAGTGTCGGCCTGTGGACTCAAGGGTCCCGGGTTCGATTCCGGTCAAGGGCATGTACCTTAGTTGCGGGCACATCCCCAGTAGGGGGTGTTCAGGAGGCAGCTGATTGATGTTTCTCTCTCTTCTCTGTAAAAAATCAGAGAGCGAGAGCGAGAGTGGCCAGCACGCAGCTGGCAAGAGCCAGAGCCAGAGCCAGAGCCAGAGCCAGGCCCGACCTCCTGGCCTTCCTACCGCAAAGGAGGGGCATCGTTTCTAAAGCTCTTGGGTGGTGCCTCCGTGCACCCAGGGCTCAGGGTCCCTGAGGGCGGGGCTGTGACCGCTCTCTGAGGCCAGGGTGGGCCACGGCCCAGCATGGGTGGGTGTTAGAGGGGGAAGCCCCCATGATGGCAGGGCACACACTCGGCAAAGGCTCGTTCAATCAATCAATGGGTAAAGGTTTTCTGAGTGGATTAAAGTCCACATAAATCCATAATCTTTTATGTGCTGGATACAAGCATTTAAGTGGGAGACAAACAATTCCATTTATTGAACTGGGGAAGGGAAAGACAGTGCTTAAAAAATAATAAAATCGCTTTTTGAAAGAAAGCCAGCAGCGATTAAAATGCCTATGATGTCCGACGCTCCAGTCCAGGGGCGAGAGCTGTGCCCCCAGGGCCGGGGCTCGGCGGGCGTGGGACTCAGGCGGAGCCGGCCCGCGTTATGGACGGGAGAGCTGAGGCCAGCTGGGGGAAGAGGTCCATTCAAGCCAAGGTCATGCTGACCAGAGGGTGGGGAGGAACTGGGAGCTGGGCTAGGCCCTCACCTGTCTTTTTGGCACTCACAACCGCCTCTGGAGGACGGAACCTCGCCGCTCACGCGCAGACAAGAACAAGAACATTCCGAGAGCGAGAGTGGCCAGCACGCAGCTGGCAAGAGCCAGAGCCAGAGCCAGAGCCAGAGCCAGAGCCAGAGCCAGAGCCAGGCCCGACCTCCCGGCCCTCCTACCGCAGACCAGGCAAGCGGCTCCAGATGACAGGACAGGAGTCCTGCCTCCCGCACATGATGGACATCAGAGATCCCCAATCCATGGCAACATTGAGGACCAACTCAGCACGTACACGGCTCACGGAGCAAGAGATAGTCAGCGTGACATGGCCCGTGTTAGATGCCCACACGGCTCCCTCTGGGCAAAGACGGAGCTGTGGGGTTCACCCTCTTTCCCGAGGAGCCTGGCGCCCCGAGGAGAAGGCGGGTCCCCAGGGGCAGCCTCACCCGCTGCACCCATCAGGCATGACAGTCTTCTGCTTTCTCCAAACTCGTCACAACCCAGAAAAAAATCAGACCTTCCTAAAGTCCCAGAGATTGTGTCTGACAAAATGGTAGCCACTATCACACTCGGGGGGACACTGAGCTGCTGCTAACCCCATCCGGGGTGTCCCCCCCCCCCCCCCCCCCCCCCCCGGTCTGCATTAGCCCATTGGCGAGCTCACAAGCATCCCGAGGACCAAGAGGGAGTGACGTCTGCTTGTTCCCCACCCACCACAGCCATCAGCGTCCCATTACTCCACCCCCAGCCTCTCAGACCGGACCAGGGCTCGCCGTGACTGCCTCCCCCTCACCCCACCCAGGCCACATCCAGGCTCCTCCATCATTGTTTCTCCCGGACCCAAGCTTCAGCCTCTGCAGAGTGTCAATGAGGCCACACCACTCCCCTGCTCAGAACCCTCCAGGGGTCTCTCCTTGTAGCTAAAGAGCAAGCCCAGCCCCTTCCCCAGCCTCCAGGGCCCCGAGCCCGCACGGTCTGGCCTCTGCCTTCCCTCACCCTGCAGCCAGCCCTCACGCACCCCGCCCCTGCCTGAGAAACTTGCACTTGCTGCTCCCTCCGCTGAGCACGACCTTCCCCCAGACTCCATCCTTCAGCCGGCGCTCAGCTGACATGTCATCTCCTGTGCCCACACCATGCAGTGCAGGTGACCCCGCAGTTACCCCGTCACATCCCATCACTTCATTACCCTGTGGCACACACTGCCTTCTGTCCTCCCAGTGACGTCTGTGGTCTGTTCTTCTGTCCCCAGCCCCTACCCGCCCTCCCTGTGTGTGCACGCACAGAGCCGGCTACGACCTCATGGCCGCAGGGACCCGGCTGGCCTGATCCCCATGGCGTTCCCAGAACCCAGCCAGTGTCTGGCAAGGGGAGACAGTCACAAACCCTCGCAAAGGGGATGAGTGAGTAGCACCTGACATGTCAGGCTGGGCTCTAAGCGGACAAGCAGGCACATGGCCGTTGTCTGCCTCTAGCAAAGGATCGAGGCATAAGGCAAGTGACTAATTATTGATAGATAGGGCATGGGTGCGGTGACTGCTATAAAGGCAAAGGGAAGTTCAAAGAGTGTGTGTGTTTGTGCGTGTGTGCATGTGTGTGTGAGTGTGTGTGCTTGTGTGTATGTGTGTGTGTGTGTGTGCGTGTGTGTAGGGTGGTGTGGTTTTAAATGTTCACAAATTCCCTGACGCTCCTCTATCTGGGGATGGAATAGTGGCTCCTCCGCCTTGCTTAGGCAAAAGAAACTCCATCAATGAACACTTAAAGAGCCCATGTCACATTTTTTTAAAGATTTTTTGTTGAATTCAGAGAGGGAGAGGGGGAGAGAGAGAAACAGCCGCTTCCTGCACACCTCCTACTAGGGATCGAACGTGTGCCCAGGGCATGTGTCTGACCAGGGATTGAACCGTGACCTCCTGATCCATAGGTCGACGCTCAACCACTGAGCCGCACCAGCCTGGCTCCCTCCCTGGTTTTGGTATTGCTCAGGCCGCTGCAAGATGGGTCTCTGCTGTGCGTCACTTGTTTGCCAAATGTCATTGACCATTTCCAAATACCTCCTGATGGCTGCCCTTTTTTCTTTAAATGGACTCACTTTTGTGATTATGCAAATCAATTTACAAAGAAAAGCTGCCATAAGGACTGTCATTGAAAGACCAGGATCACTTGTATAAACGGATGTGACCATCACAATAAGTAGGCGGCGGACAGGGGGCCTCCCTGGAGCGGAGGGGTCCCAGAAGACCGGCTTGGTCTCTCCCGGTGCCCGGCACAGGGTTTCCGTGAGATGGATGGAAGGGCCTTGACCTGGGGCTGTGGGTCCTTCAGATAGCACAGGTCTGGAGCCCAAGCAGCCAGAGGAGGGAAATTCTAAAGGAAGGGAGCAGAGTGGTCGGCAAGGGCAGGCGCCTGAGTCTGGGCCCCACAAGAGGCTCAGGGATTCCTTCAGGGGAGAGGAGGAGGGAGCATCCGGGACCCAAGACTCCTGCAGCGGGGCCAAACCACTCTGGCACATGTTATCACGCTGCTTCCTGAAGCCCCGCCCCAATGACTCTGATTGGTGGGTGCGAAGTGGGCCCCTGAAGCTTTCCTTTTTTGTTTTGTTTCTCCTCACCGGAGGGTATTTCCACTCCCCCAGCCCCCTACTGATTCTTAGAGACAGTGGAAGGGAGGAGGAGAAACACAGGGAGAAAAACACTGATGTGAAAGAGACACCTCCATTGGTTGCCTCACGCATATGCACTGACCAGGGCCAGGGATCAAGCCTGCAACCCTTTAGTCTGTGGCCCGACACTATAACCACTGGCTAGGACCCTGAGCTGCACTTAAAATAAATGCTTCGGGCGATGCTGAGAACCCCACAGGTGTCAGGTGAGCATGGAGACAGGTAGGGGCCCAGCAGACAAAAACACAGAAATGCCCTTGATGGCAAAGATCCCCCAGAACATTGCATCAGCGCCTGCACCCCGAGAACCCGGCCTCACAGATGACCAGAGAGCAGCGCATCGCCAAGACTATTTAAAGCATGATCTTGTGTTTACCGACAGCGAGCCACACACGATCGCAGGCATTCTACAGCCCACGGGAGGGAGCGATCGATCCAAACTAGAGAGAGACCTTGTCAACTGGCGACTGGAGGCCGGGAACTTAACCCTCCTCTGCTTGCGTGACCAGGAAGTCAAATTGTTCACCGATGAAGTCAGAGCCAGCGAGGGAGGGGCGGGGGCAGGGGTCACCTAGCTCCTGGAGCCTTCCCTCCGGTTCTGCGCTAAGTGCCTCCTTAAACCAGAATTAACGTGGAAAAACGGGAGCGTGTGCGTTGGGGGGGGCGAGGGTGGGGGGTACACAAACCGGTGCCCTGGGCCTGCGGCCGCGTCTCTCAGCAAATGGAGACTGACTTTTATCTGATTAACCGGTGGAGGCGCATCCTTCTCCCGCTCTCAGGATGGCTCTGCGGGCACTGCGCAGCGCAGGCTGCAGGGAGACGCTGGGCCTTGGCTGCCCTCCTGCTCGGCCGGTGGAAAATTACCGGAGGCCGGGCTGCCCTCTGCCACGCTCCCGGGCCCTCCCTGCCCGGGGAACACACGGAGGAACCGGACAGACACACGCCGGCCTGGACTTACCTGGGGCGGAGAGGAGCCTGGGAGGCGGTGGGGGCGGGGGTGGCGGGGGCAGCAGGGGCGGGGGCCGGCACTGGCAGATGTGTTGGCAGCTGTCCGTCACCTTGGAGCAGGACCTCTGGGGCTCGCCCTGTGTCACCTGCAGAAACGGGCACGGGCGCCCGAGAGAAGACAGTGAGGCCTCAGGGAGCGGAAATCCCCCCCTCCCCCTCCCCCCCCCCCCCCCCCCCCCCTGCCAGGCTGGACCCCGGGGTGATCCCCCAGGCAGACGTGGGGTTGGCTCAGAGAGAACAGGGGGAGGCTGGCAGGGCCCGGCGAGGGGACCGCCATGGGTGGCTTCCATGTTATGAAGGGGTGGTTAGGAACGTGAAGGTCCACTCCTAGACTCTCCCCCTCAGACAGATGAGGACACTGGGCCCAGGAGAAGTGGCTGCCCGATGACACAGGATATGGACTCTGCACCCTCAGGGAGCGGCCCAGCCCCTTCCCCAGGCTTCTGGCAACGGAACAAGGGCCAAGCTGTCCCTTCCTCTCCGGCCACAGCCCCCGACGCCTCTGGACGGCCAAGGCCAAGGCCCTCCGTCTTGAGGGGGCACCTTCCTCGGCCGGCGGCGTCTGCTCTGGTGGCCACATGACCAAGGGGAGCCCAAGGATCTTGTGTGAAACAAACCCGCCCAGGCCACTCACACCCCTCCCCCCTCCTCCCCCCAAATGCCAAATGCCTGCCTGCCCACAGCCAAGGGCATCAGGGCCACAGGGTTCTGCCTCCCCCTCAGCACCCTTCTTCCACTCTGAGCCCTGGCCACACCCCTCCCTTCTCACATGTTCTCGCACCCCTTCCCTCCCCCTCCCCCCACCCCCACCCCGACCCCACCCCCGCTGGCCTATTCCTCAGCTTGGCTAGCGCCTCCCCTGGTCAGATCTCCTTTTAGCAGGCTCTTCCGGCTCTGGGGGGCAGACATGTGGGTGATCCCTGCTTCCTGTCCATCTACACCGTTAGATCTATGGGGCGGGGGCCAGCCCTCGTCTCTCACTATCATAACCTGGCTAAAGCATGCCCGCCATTTCATAAATATCTGGCGAATGAATGAATGAATGAACAAATGAATGAATGAATATTAAAAAGCTGAACCAGAATCCACCCCTCTTGACTCCCGGTCTGGTGTTTTTGATGTCAGTACCCTCGCCCGTACACTAGGAAGTGTGGTGGGAGTGGGCTGTGTCGACCAGCGGCTCCCAACCCCGGCTGCACCTCAGATCCTCCGGGCAGCGATAAAAAGCACTCACGCCTGAGCCTCCCCCAGGATCCGTTAATCAGAGGCTCTGCAGGGGCAGCCAGGCAGGAGTGCTTTGTTTAGCTTTCAGGAGACACTTCTAACGAAGGCCGGGGACCCGTGGTCAGCAAACTGCAGCTTGAGAGCCACTTTGGCCCCTTGAGTGTGGCTCTTCCACAAAATACCACGGCCTGAGTGAGTCTATTTTGAAGAAGTGGCGTCAGAAGAAGTTTAAGTTTAAAAAGCTTGGCTCTCAAACGAAATGTCAATCGTTGTACTCTTGATATTTGGCCCTGTTCACTAATGAGTTTGCTGACCACTGCCGTAGACTGACCGCCCGAGGCCCTCCCTGCGGTGGGGTGCGAGCATCCACGAGGCCCGTCCCAGGGAACAAGCGGACTTAAAGGCGTGAAGGAAAACGGAGGTGGACCCCACCCCCACCCCCACCACATCAATATGATCAATCATGCCCGTGGCGAATTCCTCTGAGCAGAACCCCAGAACCCCCATTTCCCTGCAACCAGCCGCGGGCGGCTGCCTCAGGCCAGCGCAGAGGCCGCTGCGTGTCCCAGGCCCAGCAGAGAAGGCCCGCAGGGCTGGGCGCTCTTGGCGTTGGCAGAGGTGAACAGGCCGGGGTGACAGCGGGAGGTGGGCTGACTGACAGCCCTGACAACATCGGGGAGGCCAGGCCGCCCCTGCGCACCGCCTTTTCTCGTTTTTTAAGGACCCACTGCGGTTCAGACTCTGGACCGCAATGTTGTCTCCCTCTGGGGAGCGCATAACCTGGAGGGGAGCCTTTTCTCGGTTACTTTAGGGGATGATGAACTCTGCACGCCCCCCTCATCCCGCCTCCCCACCAGTGCAGCCCAGTGGTTCTCCGTCCCCACGGAGCCTGTCCTCTGGACCCCACCTTCCGGGCGGTTGCTCCAGAGCCTCTATCAAATGTGTGAACTTTAAGCAACGGGTGCCACTGCCAAGGCCATTGCTTTCCCACGCTCCCAAGCGCAGTGTGCACGGCGGAGTTCAAGAGCAGCCCAACACAATGACCCACTTTGGGGAGAGGACATGAGGGCTCCGATGTGTGAGCGTTTAATGCGATGGAGTTATAGGCAGGGCCAGGGCCAAGGGTCTGGGCTGCAGGGGGAGGAAGCATTTTAGAAAGCTGTGGTGTCTCTGACCATGGCCCCACTGGAAAGGGTCTGACCCAGCTGCTTAACCAACCTCATCACCAGAGCATCCAGGCTGGGCTTTGCGTGGGCGCCTCTCTGGAGTCTGGTCCAGTGCAAACCAGTGGCCACTGAGATAAAGGGCTACTCAAACCCTTTATCTACCTCCCAACTTCTATTCATCCTTGAGACCCAGTTCCAGCACAGCCTTGTCCGGTAAGCCACCCCATCCCCAGGGCACCCCAGACTAGACCAACTGCCCAGGGATGCTTCTTCACCGTGTAAGCCCTTCTCTTTGGGGGCATCACCCCCGCTGCTTTATAATGACTGCCTTCCCCCCCCCCCCCCATACCTCTTCCTTACTAAAGCTGGCAGGTAAATGAGTCTGTGCTATATTCATCCTGATCAGTGTGACCTCCTAAGCTCTACTGTGTGTCAGCCACGGGAGACAGTTGTCATTTCACCACGAGGATAACCGGGAGAGGCAAAAGCTACCATCCACACTGAGTGGGGGGGACGGCAGGATCATGAGTAAGGAACTGAATGGAGTGGCACAAGGCCTGGCATTCGGTTGGTGCTCAGCGAAAAGATGTGTTGAGATGACCCGCCCACCAGTGTAGAAACACAGGATCTGCCCCCTTCCCCCGAACCTGGGTCCACTTCGGGGTTCTGTGGTTTGGTGGTCTTGCATTTAGACAAGCTCCTCAGTGCTAGGACTGTGTCTCAATACCTGGCTTAGGGGCGTGGTTGGCAAACTGCGGCTTGCGAGCCGCATGCAGCTCTTTGGCCCCTGAGTGTGGCTCTTCCACAAAATACCACGGCCTGGGCGAGTGGTATTTTGAAGAAGTGGCGTTAGAAGAAGTTTAAGTTTAAAAAATGTGGCTCTCAAAAGAAATGTTAATCGTTGTGCTGTTGCTATTTGGCTCTGTGGACTAATGAGTTTGCCGACCCCTGGCTTAGGGAGTCCAAGGAGATGATACGTGCCCTTGGAGTCACCTACTCGTAGCTGGACTTGACCAAGGAAGAGCAGAGCCCAGAGAGCTCAGTGACTTGCCTAAAGCCCTCAGAGCAAAAGCTGGCACCATTGCTTCCTAGGACGAGTGCTTATTCCACTTCTGCCACCGCCTGCCTTCCCTCCCCTGCTCGGCAGTGTTCTCCTGGGGCCAGAACCCCAGGTCCTGCAGCCGCTGTGGTACCTGACCCTGGGGCCCGGGGGACAAGGTGCTCCATGGCTGCCAGAGTCCCCACTCCTGGCCAATCAGTACAGCTTTTCGATCCAGGGAATACTGCCTCCTACATCATCACCGAGTCCATTCACGTCTCCACTTACCACCCCAACCATCATCTCTCTCATGAAGACTTGCCATGTAAAATATAGGGCACCCTGTTACATTTTAGAAAAACAAACACCCATTTTTTAGTATAAACACCAAATATTATATGGGATACACTTATGCTGAAGAACAATTTGTGGTTGACTTGAAACCCAAAATTTTTAAAAAATATATTTTATTGATTTTTTTTGCCCCCCGTCCCTCTCTCCCATACATACTCTCCCTCCCCAGAGTTTTATGTCCATTGGTTGTACTTATATGCATGTATACAAATCTTTCGGTTGATCTATTATCTCCCCCAGATCTCCCCCCCCCCCCACTGTAAATTGACAGTCTGCTTGTTGCTTTACTGTCTCTATATCTATCTTTTGGTTCCGGATGCCCTGTGTATCTATTTGCTCAATCTGGCAGCACTACCCCCACCAGCTTCTTTGACCCTTGCCTTGACCCCCTTTTCGAATCCATCCTTCCTGCTGGAGCCGGACTGAGATTCTGAAATGCCAGCCTGAGATTGCCATCTCTTGCTTAAAACCTTTGAGAATCCCTGAAGCCCCCCAGGATCAAGTCCAAACTGCAAGATACAATGGTAGTAGCTCTGAGCAGCGGCCTCACCCTCTCTCCTGTTGCCTCTGCCTGCACACCTCCCCCAGGCTTGCCCCCGACTCAGACTCCTCCTTGGGCACGTCTCAGCTGAGCACCACATGGGCCCCTTCCCCCAGATCCCATCTCTGAGCTTTTTGCTCCCATTGCGCTATCTCGCCTCTAATTACTTGTTTAATTATCTCTCCAGTGCCAGACTGTTGATGCCCTGAGGACCAGGATCACGAGGTCTCTTGCACGTAACACAGGGCCTGGCAAACAGTAGGCGCTCAATTAGTGCTGCTGAGTACGTAAGTGAAGCTGTAGTGACTGGCCATAGCGGGAAGTCAGCATTGCGTGGGCCTGAGGGTGGCACTGGGTCAGCCCTGGAAGACCCGTAGGCTGGCATCCGAGCCTGTCTCCCCGATGATGGCTCCTGGCATCTTTTATGGTGACAGGCCAGCACCACAGTAGCCTGATGAGGCACACTCCTGTCACACCTAATACATTTGCCAGCCTGTCATCCTCTTCGCTTGCAAAAAAAAAAAAAAAAAAAAAAAAAAAAAAGGAATCATCTGGAAGTGAACTCAGAAGAACCCTAAATCACAAAAGCTCAAAAGCTCGATTCCAGAGACACATTTAAGGAGAAAAAGGGGAGGCTGGCGGGTGCCCCCACACCAACCTGCGGCATTTTAAATGCCATCTGATGCTAATGACTAAGTTTCTCATCATCTAGGCAGAGGCTTGGGGGCTGACAGGTGCTTTGGGGAACACAGGTCTCTCACGTCCCCGTTGATCCTAATAATTGGAGGACTTCGTTATGTCAGTCTCTCCCGTCCAAATGCTCACAACTTCGGGGGAGTCTTCTGGCAAAACGCTCAGGAAAGCACAGCGAGCTGAGCGCTTTCTCTGCCTCCGAGGAGCTCCGACGAAGAGACAGATTTCAGTCTCTCCTCTTAAAGGGACCTACATGGCTGCATGCACTTCCGTTTCTTCCTCTTCTCCCTCTGTCCCTCCAGATTCAGCTCTTTTGCTTAAAAACAAACAAACAAACAAACAAACAAAAAACAGACCCATCCATTCCAAAGCCCTTTTCCCTTGCCTTCCCAGTCCTTGTCATTTGTAGATTTTTTCCAGAGCTTCCAGCCAAGATTTTATCCATGCTACTTGTCTAGAGGATTCCTTTTCTAATTGATTTGCACAAGAATTGATTGTATTGAGCAATAGCATCTGAAGCACAAACACACACATACACACATGCATGTGTAAGTACTGTCTAGCTGAAGGACACTGGAAAAACCAGGCTGTTTTCACAAAATGATTTCTTATGGTGGTGGTGGTGGCGAGGTGGTAGGGAGGTGGTGGGGAGTAGGTGGGGGTGGTGGGAGTGGTCTCCTGTCTCTACCCAACAGACAACACCATCCTGTGGCTCTCCACACTCGCTGAAAAGTCTTATGGGAAACTGTACGCAAACAAACACGAAGTGAACTGAATGCCTGGGGCTCCGTTTGAAGCTGCGCCAGGGAAGCTGGTCCCCAACCACCTGAGTGTTTAAAAGTGACAACACCCTGCGTCCCGAGGAGGCAGAGCCGAGTTTAATAACTGCAGTTTCACACATTACACAAAGCTGTCAATTCCGAAAGGAAAACAATTGTGAGTGAGGCGGAGGCAAGCCAGAGACGGAGCAGAAGGCAGGCCTGGTGCTGGGGAGGGTGGTGGATCCTGGCCGGCCCGCCCACTCAGCCAGCATGCCGGGCCCAGCGTCAGAGCCCTGGCTCTCTCCCTGCGCTCACTCAGCCACCCTCCGGGCGGGACGGACTGAGCCGGCTCCCAGCAGGGCCCATGGACCACGGCAGACCGGCCAGCAGTCTCCCCAACCCCTTCCTCGGTGGACTGTCACCCGTTCTCAGATAACCATCTGAATCATCCCCGACCCTCCCCCAAATGCCACCGGAAGTGAAGCTCAAATACCCAGAGTGGAGTATTGGAATGCCCCACAAATGGTAAAAATGTCCTCCAGCACCTGCTGAGCCACTAACAACTCAAAAACACGGAACAGACTCTGTAGTGATCAAGAGCACCTGGCTAGTCCTAATATCAATATGGCCGCAGCAGCCACCATCGGTGTTGGTTCTGGTCTGGGCACTGTGCTAAGTAGTCTTTATATGTGTTTTATCTCATCAAGTACTTGTGATAGCGCAGTCAGGAAGAAGGAACCAAAGATCAGAGAGGTTACGTGCACTGCCTAACGTTGCCCAGCTGGGTCGGGGCAGGGCTGGGGCTCAAAATTCAGAGCCGACAGCCAAGCCCACCTCTTCACCACTCCACTGTCCCAGTGACCGAGTCGGTTCTGCGAGGTACGGGGGACCATCCCGACGAACCCCCTCTCTGACTTAACAGAGGTAACTCCAGCTGGGGGCTGCCTGGCCTCTGTCCAGGGACCCAGGATGAGGAGTCCATCCTCAGGCGGTGCTTACAGATGGACGGCCATTTCTTACGTTCTCCATGTGTGGCCACCAATTACAACCCATCCACGTCCCCAGCTCCACTCCCTGCACCAAACACAGCCTCTCCCGTGCTGACGTCCAGCTGAAGGCTAACTGGGAGTTGACTAGTGGGAGATAAAAGATGTATATTCTTGGGATCCTTTTCTTTTTAAGTTCGCAAAAGCTCGAAGGTTTCTCTCCCGGCATTTCTGCAGTCAGGCGTCATCACCAAGAAGGCATTCCGGTTCCCAGGCCCTGTCCTGCAGGTCTTAGGCCACAGCCGGAGCCTCCCCCTGGGGCTTCTTAGCTCTTCCAGGCCGGAGTATGGGGAGGCCCTGGCATCTTTTCTTGAAATAAGCTCTCCCCAGGACCAGCCAGAGGGGTGGCTGCTGGAAGCTGGGGTCGGAGAGTGAAGGGACATCCCGCCCTCCAACTGGGTCTCGCCCAGGGAGGTCTCCAAACGGGTGCAGCCCAGCCCCCCGCGCCACGCTCACCTGCACGAGGCCCCAGAGCGGGTGGAGCGCGCAGTGCAGCAGCAGGGAGGGCCAGCAGCCGCCGCGGCGCAGCGCCAGGTCCCGGAGCAGCATCTCGGCCCGCGGCACCCGCTCTCTCTGGGGCGAACTGTCAGGGGAGCAAAGCTCGGGTCAGGCGGCGGGCCGCGGGCGCGCACTCCAACACGTAGCGGTCCGGGCTGGGCAGGCACGCCCCGCCGCTTGGACCCCCATGCCCCCCTCCCACGCCCCCTCGTAAATCCAGCTTGCCCCTTCGCTCCAGTTTGCACCTTCGAAGACCCTGCGCGCACACTCACACAAGCCGGCACCCCAGAACTCACATTCCATCCTGGCGCCCATCCCCGGAATCCTGTGCGCACCTCTGGCCCCCGGGCACCTGCCCGGAGCCCTGCGTGCACACCTCGGCCCTGAGCGCACCTCCACACACAGCCCCGCACACGAATCACCCAGAAACAGCCGGGCTCAACTCACTCCCGCAGTTGGAACCTTTCAAACCCGGCGGGCACCCCTCACCCCGGGTGCACACTCACAGACACAGCCGCGCACACCCACCGGCCCCTGCCCGCACACCCGCTGACCCTGCTGCGTGCACGGCACCGGGAAGTCACACGCCGCGCGCACCCTCCTCGCCCCGCCGCTCCCCCTGCGCACACCGCAACCTCTGCACTTCCGTGCGCACCCCATTCAGCCGGCGCGCTCCCCGGGCCCCGCCTCCCGCCCCGGAGCGCGATCTCACCCCCCCGCCCCATCACCCCCTCCCAGCCCTCCCGGTCCGGCCCCCTCCCCCCGGGCCGCACGCCCCACCTTGCTTGGGGCCGCCGGGCCGATCCCAGCGCCCGGAGGGAGGTGCGCTCCCCCCGCCGCAGACTCCGGAGCCGCCCCTCGGCCCCCATTTAAAGCCGGCCGCCTCCCCAGGCCCCCGCCCTCTAGGCGGAGCCTCCGTCCTCACCCGGCGGCTGCGCGGGCGCCGGGGCTTCGCGTGCCGGGAGGAGCGCCGGCGCCGGAGCAAAAGTTTGCGCGCGGCTGGGCCTCCGGGGCCCGCGCTGGGCTCCGGGCGGCTCCCCGCTGCGGCCGGCAGCGCGCAGGGCCGGAGGCGCGGCCCCCGGCGTCCTGGGCCGAGCGGGCCGCCAGGGCGGAGGCGAGGGCGGGGAAAGTGTCCTCCAGGCCCCCGGGACCCGGACCCGGACCGGGACCGGGCGCCCTCCCCGGGTCCCCGCCCTCCGCTCCGGGGCACCGCCGGGCTGCGCGGGGCGCGGGGTGCGGGGCTCTCCGGGTCCGCCTCGCCCGCCCGCGGGAGGAGCCGCGGGAGCCGCCGCCGGGAGCGCCGCCCGGGCGCAGGGCCGCGGGAGGAGAGATAAATAATGCACGAAAAAGGAAAACAGACGTGAGCCTCGCCCGCCTCCCGCCGCCCGGGCCGCTCCCGCCCGCGCTCCCCGCCAGTGCCGCCGCAGTGGTTCCGTCTCCATCTAGCGCGGCGATTGTGTGCTGGGCGCCTCGCCCTCCCTCCTCCCCGCGGGGAGCGGGCGCCCCGCGCCCGGGGGACTGCTCCCTGCTCGCCCTCCCCCAAGCGTCTCCCGGGCGTGGGTGCTGCGCGGAGACCCCTCTTTGCGCTCTGGCCTGGAGGACTTGCTCCCCTCCGCGCCCCATCCGGATGGAACGGGAGCCCCCTCTGCCCCCCCCCCCCCCATCCCCGCCGTGCGGCGCCCCAGTGCAGCGCCCAGGGCCGGTCTCCCTTCAGGTTCAGGGGCCTCTCCCACCTCAGCGCCGAGTCCTGGGAGGAGTTGCCCATGGCCCCGGGGGTGGGGGTGGCGGGATCGCTGCTCTTCCTCAGCCAGCCATCCCAAACTCCTCTGTTTGAGGTAAGAGTATCAACAAGTCGTCCTGCACGTTTCGTTCAAACTACAGTAGCTGCCCCTCAGCCCCGCGGGCTCCACCGCAGGGACGTGAAGCCGCTCTGCTCGTCCGGCGGCTGCGCATGGTCAGCGCGTGGACTGGCGGACTGGCCTTCCGGAAGGGCTCCCCAAGCATGGGCCATCCTGCTCTTAGGTGCCAGGGCTCAGGGCAGAGCGGAGCTGTCAGACACCATAGCTCATTCATGGAAGGGACATGCTCTTTTTTTCTTTAATGTTTTTTTTAAATATATTTTATTTTTACAGAGAGGAAGGGAGAGGGATAGAGAGTTAGAAACATCGATGAGAGAGAATCATCGATCAGCTGCCTCCTGCACACCCCCTACTGGGGATGTGCTGGCAACCAAGGTACATGCTCTTGACGGGAATCAAACCTGGGACCCTTTAGTCCATAGGCCAATGCTCTATCCATTGAGCCAAACCGGATAGGGCTGGGGGTATGTTCTTTGTTCCTTTGCCCTGAAGTCACCCCTTAAAACCCCGTAAGTATAAAGGGTCTGCTCTGCACATGCACTTTCAGACCCATTTCCTTTATGGGGAGGCTGCCCTGAGGCTCTCCATCTAAGCTCTGCAGACACTGCTGGGGACAAGCATGCATGAGGCCTTCCCCTCCCCTCCAGGAACTTGGGGTCTGATCTGGGAGACAGATAAAAGCAACCATTCCACTGTGCACTGGTCATCCCCTCCCGGCTGTGGCGTGAGAAAGGGACCCGCGCTGTAAGGGGGACAGAGGAAGGAAGGCTGGAGGGAGGCTCCCCTAAAGCTTTCCAGGACCAGGTGACCTGCTGGGAGTGTGTGTGTGTGTGTGTGTGTGTGGGGGGGGGTTTCAGTGTTGGGAACCTGTGGGGCAGAAATGTGGAGATTCTTGTTCGTTCACTCGCTCACTCGCTCTCATTTCCTGCAGTGTCCGTGAGCAGACAGAGCACTGGACGCTGGGTTCACCGTAGTGGACAGATCAGGCCTTGTCGCTGCCTTGAAAGGGGCCAGGCTTGAGGGAGGAGAGATGGAAGAAAACATGAGGTGTGTGTGTGTGGGGCGGGGGGGTTTCCTAGATTATTTTCTCTTGGAAGAGCTTGAAATAGGAGAAGGAGGCACAACATGGAGCCCTATTGGCCGGCTGAGGTTAAGGTAATACTGAGTATATTAATGCCTCGCCACTCTGGCCAGGCAGGGTAAGCTGGTCAGTGTACAAAGTCCATCTTTAGATATGACGCCAGCCCCTCATGCTTATTCATGCAGCTCTTTGCCACTTAAAAATGCTCTTTTTAAAAAACATATATTTTTATTGATTTCAGAGAGGAAGGGGGAAGGAGAGAGAGAGAGAAACATCATTGATGGGATGCCTCCTGCAGGCCCCCTCCTGGGGATCAAGCCTGCAACCCCAGCTTGTGCCCTGACTGGGAATCAAACCCTGACCTACCTCCTGGTCAACAACTGAGCCACACCAGCGGGGCCACTTAAAAATGTTCTTTACATTTTAACCCAGTTCTCACAGCTCTGTGAGGCACATGTAATTGCCCCATTGGACAAGGTCAGGCATGTGACTTACCCAGGATCCCACAGCCGCTCACCCCCAGCCTGAGGTCCGGTATTTTGGAAGAGCCTGGGCAGGTGTTAGAAAGCCTGCATTATCCACTCTGGCCTTCAATGTGCCATACGTGATCCAATCTATATGCCTCTTGAATGTCACCTGACCCTCTAACGCCATGGAACATCCTAGCCTTTCTTAGGGTGAACACCAGGCTTTGTCATGGGCCCCCTCAGGCCACGGCAGGACCTGGAGAGAGACTGGCTCCTCTCCCCGCTTCTGGACTCCTATGGCAGCCCACAGGATGGTACCTGGGATCTGCCTACAAAGGCCAGGAAACTCGACTCCGAAATGGAGGGGAGTTAAACCTTGCCTATGGATTGCAGTGGTTCCATTTGGCCATATTAGATTGGGTCAAGTATGGAATATTGGAGACAGGAGATATCTAAAAGGCATGAATGAGCAACTGACAATATTTTTTTTTTCTGAAGAGATGGCCATCTTGGCAACACACAGTTTTGTGTTTGCTTTCCTCCTTCTTTGCTGCACTTCCTCTTCCCCCTTATTGGTGTGGCCCTAGGGTTGTATCCCTCAGTGAAGTGTTAGCAAGCAAGCGCTGCTTCAGGCTCTGCTCCCCAGGAACCAGGGGCCATCGGTGCTGCCGTTCTTAATATCCAAATATCATAGAAGGGTGTGAGCAACTCTGAATCATGCCAGGGGTGGACTGTAGTGGAGCCCACTGGGGCACATTCTCAGATTTGCTTGGCTCCACCTGCCTCCTCGTGTTGCTCAATGGAGAGGACAGCCATCGCCACCATTGTTCCATCTCCTCAGCCCCTGGTATCGCAGCCTCCCCCAGGGTGAGAGCTGAGTTTCTGTGAGGCTCCCAGGGTGCCCACCTTGGCAAGGACCCCAACTGCAGTGGGCCCAAGCCCAGCCTGACCATACGCACAGGGGTGTTGGCTTCTACCAAAGTCCCCTCCTCAAGTGAAGTCCCACACTAGAGAGCGTGGGATCTGATTCCCCCAGCAACTGTCTGCAGACAACCTGCACATGTGGGGAGCTAACTCCTGTGGCATGAATTTTGATCAACAAGAGAAAAGAGTCTGGAGAGATCTGGTAGGTAATCCATCTCCCTTTCTCCATCCATACGGCGTACTCAAATCTATCCTGTGTGTCCGAGCCATGGGCCGTGCTCCCTGGCAAAGCTGGGGCCTGCTCAGTAAGCATACACGCTTCCTTCCCTGCTGCCCTGCCTGTTTCCCTTCACTCCTTCTGAAATGTTGAAACACCCCCAAAAAATGTGTCATTGCATGCACTTTGCTTCAGGCTCCCTTTTGGGGGGATCCTAGGCTTAGACAAGTTCTTAGATGTCCCGTGGGCTCTAGAAGTTATGGCCACGCTCATGAAATGAAGTGGGACACCATGGCAGGCAGGATGCTACGTATCTGAAACATCTTACAGCGGCAGTGGGTTGAAAGTGGTGGTTCCTTAAGCGGCGGATGACTTTCCTCAGGCCTCCGTTCTTCTACGAGGACAGGCACGTTCCAGGTGGGAAGAGCTCCTGTTGGTCCGAACGCCAGCTCTTACCCGGCAGGCGTGGCTCCGTGGTTGAGCTTCAATCTATGAAACAGGAGGTCGCAGTTCGATTCCCGGTCAGGGCACACGCCCGGATTGTGGGCTTCATCCCCAGTAGAGGGCGTGCAGGAGGCAGCCAATCAATGATTCTCTCTCATCATTGATATTTCTATCTCCCTCTTCCTCTCTCTGGAATCAATTTAAAAAAATACATTAAAAATAAAATACCAGCACTTGGGTTAGACTGCTTGATTCTCTCTAGCTGTATAATCTTTGGAGAATTTCCTATCCTTTAAAGCCCAACTTTTTCCCTTTCTAGCAGGAATTATAATAATATCCTATATAATAAAAGGCTAACATGCAAATTGTCCACTCGACCAGGAGGGGACACATATGTAATACCTTAATCAATGAAGAAATTAAAGATTGAAGAAAAATGCTAGTATGCAAATTATCCCCTCCACCAGGAGGCTGGCCCACCAACTGCCCATGACCCCTCCACACTGGCTGACCCTGCCCCCTACCTGCCCCTCCCCCATTCCGATTGGGGGCAAGGCTAACAGGCCAACCTCCCGCGTCCCCTCTCCCTGACTGGCTGGACCCCACCCATGCATGAATTTATGCACCGGGCCTCTAGTTTAGCTATAATTAGGCCTCAGAGTTCTTGGAAAGATTAACTGAGATAATTCAGATAAACACTTAGCCTGGCTCAAAGTGACTGCTCAGAAAAGGCCATTTTAAATTATTTTTTAAAGATAGAAGGGCAAAAACGCTGCCCTTCTGCAAGAGCACTAATTGGCATCAGGGATCTTTTTGAGTAAAACACAAAGAAAGCAAAAGAAGCGCATTGTGACCAGTGAAGGGACACTCATTACTGAACTATGAAATTATGCAGGCTATTTAGGTTTTGAAAAGAACATTGGTATTATCCAAATTGTTCATTACGGCAGCTTGAATTAAATATGTAATTGACAATGTCATGTTTTCCAGGTCAGCAGTGAATCTATCCAGAGAGAATGTTTTCCTGATTGACCGAGTATTGGGGGGAGGGAAACCCCGAGTCTCTCCTGGGATCTGTTCGGGATGCCACTCATCCCTCTGAGGTTGGTCCCATGCCCCAGCCAGTATTTTAAGAGCCGAATAGGATTCATGACAGATCCACCTTGCCGCAAACTGAGTTAGCTCTTTCCCCAAGAACATTCTCGTCTGAATCCCTTGCAGCCAGATGTTTGGACATGGAGAAGAGCCAGGAAGAAGCCCAGATGTTAAACTACAGTTTAAAATCACCCGTGTCTTCCCTCTCTTGCCATCCTTTTTTTTTATCCTAAGAAAAGACCACAGTTTTGGAAAGAATTGTCAGGACCAGGCTTGCTTAATCGCGTGGCCTGGCTCAGAACCATTTTCCCGCACCAAAGGAAGTCCAAGCAGAAATGACCCAAGAGAACATTGGATGGGAACCCGTGGTGG